ATTTGGTCCACAGGCTAGAGTTTGCCAACCACTTACATAGATTAAGAAGTACAATTTGAGTATCATTGGGCAGGCTTATACTTTCCATTTCCTCATAGGATAGAACTCCCTGGCTCACCTCCCCACCAATTCCCATTGCAGCATTTCCTATCTGGCCCCAATAATGACATTAATAAGAGCAGCAAACATGTATTTAGACTTACTGTGCACCAGCTAAGTAATGTACCCAACCTTAGGCAGCTGGTGGCCCAGTCAGGATTTGAACCCAGTCATCCATCTCCAAGTCTATGATTACACTGCCCAGCAGCATCTGAATGTACAAACCAGGACAGCAGGACACAAGGAAGACAGCGTGCCTCTCACCTCCTCTTACAGTCCACTGCTCACCACAGCTTTACCTGGCTCTTGGGGCTAGGTGGCAGAGATTAGAAGTAGCAAGGTCTACAAATATGAAAGTGAGAATGAGGGTGACTGAACTAGGCACCCACAGTAGCAAAAAGTGACAGGTAGCACTCTGACAAGAGCAGCAGGAAGACAAAGGTAAGTAGAAAATAAGAGTTATTTATTTGCGAATCGGTCAGCTACTTTGTGCCACACACTGTACAAATTCCAACTATCCTAAGACCTTGCTGCTCAAAGCATGCTCTTCTAACAGCCCATCGGTATCACCTGGATGCTTGAAAGAAAGAGTCTTGGTCTCATCCCAGGTATGAACCAGAATCTTCATTTTAACAAGATCCTCAGGTGATGTGTGCGCTAGTAAGGCCGAAAAGCCAGCAGCTATTACTGTCCCAACTTTACAGGCTAGGAACCTGAGGCTCAGGACAGTCAACCACCTTACAAGTGGTTAAGTTGCGAGTCTGAACCCCAATGTGTGATTCAGAGGCAACTCTTGTTCTCCTGACGTGGTCAAAGAAAGGCCTCCAGGACATTTACCTTAGCAGCGACCATGTATTAACTTGTAATAAGATCCTAGTAGGATCATGAAAACATAAGATACTAACCCTGCACCAGCACTTGAAAATTCAGTTATGCTCAGGATACTATTTTTAAAGAAACACAGAAATTAAAGTAATATAGTTAACACTTCAATTCCCATATTTCAAAAATCTCTTTTTACAAAGTTGACCAATTTTCCATTTCTGATGACTTTATTTAAAAGAATGTAGAAGGATTTTGAATTTGACCATACTGGATACATTGCTGTTCTTCTGGGCACATCTCTAGTGTTAGCAGGAGTGGATCATTAGATGGTCTCAGAGGTAGAGGTCAGGGACCCAGAACTGTAGGTTCCTGAGGTAAGAAGAGAGACTTGTATTTGGGATCAGGCTGTTAGCAGTCTCATTTGATATGAAGGGGCTTGGGCAGAGGTGGTTCCTAAGTTGATACCCTTGGGATTCTGGAATCTGATGGCGGGATTCTGGAATCTGATGGCAAGATTCCCCTCCCCACCTCAACCTCCCCATCATGGACTGTAGCATGGACTGTAACATCAGGACAAGACCACTGAGTACCTTGGTCATGAATCTGGGGACAGGAGATTAAAGGACAAGTTCACTCCTCCTTAGCTTGTATATTTAATAGACTTGTTTTTCTTGATAGGCATTTAGTATCTAGTATTTTAGTAAATATACTGATATGACTATAGGAACAGAGCACTCAGATACTGCAAGACCAGAGTGTGAGAAAGGATACATGATCTGGGACAAGAAAGCTACCAGAAACTCCAGCAGCTACTTTCTCTTTCTCTCCAGGCTGCAGGAGTTGTATCTGTATCTTCCCCTCTATCAGGCCCTCCACTGCACCCTAATCAGTCAGGGTGGTGCCTCTCCTTGTGGAGGAATGCATTATCCTCTCAACAGCACCCTCTCCCTGTCAACATTGGTCCTGCTTCATCAAGTGGACTCCTGGAAGGCTTCTGCCTCGCCCTCCTGCTATGGACACATTTTTTTGATTTCTGTTAACATGGCTCACTCTCAGTGACTCTGTTTTCTAACACCAACTGAAGAATCTCATTGATGCAGCTCAGCTTTCTGAGCCAGAATTATAGTTCCAGCCACCAAAAAGCTGGACTGCACTGGATCAGAGGACAACTCCAGAATCCAATCAGCCAACATTGGAGGGAGTTACATGTTTGCATTTCCCACTTAAGTGGCAAGATGGGTAGGGAGAGTCCCTCAAGAAGGAGGGTGGTGGGAAGAGTGAAGGAGGATTTATGGCACAGCAGGAATCTTCAGAATTTAAAGTCCTAGAATCTGAGGTGAAGGAAGACCTTCCAAAGTCATCTGGTCCAAACTGTGCCCTCCCACATCTCCCAGTTGCAATCCTAAACCTCCCAGGACACAAAGGTGCCAGTTCCCTTCCTGAAGCTCTCTGACATGAATCAGGATTGGGTAGAGCAGAGGGGAATGGGACACAAGATGGGGAAGACCACTGATAAAACATCCTGCTAGCTAAAGCTTATGTTGAATGTAACTTTAGAAATGTGGTTGGAATAACATCTCACTTAAAAGGCACATTGGTTTTCTGTGTGCATTCACTAAACACTCTGGGATGCACACGCTTTGGAAAAAGAAACTAAACTCTCACATACTGTGCTGTCTTCTAGAGTTGGAGAAGATGTCCTCAATTCATGTGAAAACTTTATAGGATTTTTCACCTTCTTGGGCTTTTTCCAGCACAGAATGCCAGATGTAATAAAACTGAAGTAACACCCAGGATTTTTTGGTGTTATTACTCAGGCAAAGATGAATGTGGACACACTGCAACCCAACCTTTTGTAGTCTTTAGGTGACGCATGGCACAGGTACACAGAAGCTTGGGCACACATGGAGTTTTAACACCTCAAAACATGGACAGATTTCTAAATCTCACTCCAGATCACTTGAGCAACATGGTTAATGCTTTTGGGATTCCTTTTTTTTTTTTTTGAGATGGAGTTTCGCTCTTGTTGCCCAGGCTGGAGTGCAATGGCGTGATCTCAGCTGACTGCAACATCCACTTCCCAGATACAATGGATTCTCCTGTCTCATCTTCCCAAGTAGCTCGGATTACAGGCGCCCGCCACCATGCCTAGTTAATTGTTTTGTATTTAGTAGAGATGAGTTTTCACCATGTTAGGATGGTCGCAAACTCCTGACCTCAGGTGATCCACCCGCCTCGGCCTCCCAACGTGCTGGGATTACGGGCGTGAGCCACCACGCCTGGCCTCGGTATTCTTACTGGCACAGAAAAGTCACCCTTTTAGTGGCAGTATTAATTTATCCAAAACAGGTGACCAAAATCTTTCAGAACCAATTTATTGTTTTGTTTTTCCAGGGAAAGGGAAAAAGTTGCCAAAGGGTGCTAGGAGGTAGTTGCACTTGGCCCCCAAAGTGATATAATTTCTGTATCAAGCCCACACGGACATGCAAGCTATCTTCTTCAAGCAGGTGCAGAGGCTTTTCTTTAAAAGCCACAGTCCGCCTAAAACTAATGCCACAAAGCATTAATTTCATGAACAAGCTGAGCATGAAGAACACCTAAGATGCCTGTTTTAACCCAAGTCTGGCTGAAAGTCAGCTGGAAAATGCACTATCAACACAGGACACATTTTTACACAAGGACAGCAACACAAATTTATGGGACCATCTCCGATAGCCATTTACAATCTAGATTAACTTTCATTTTACTTGAGACAACAAAGTATGGCATAACATACAGAGGAAACATTCTTACCAGCCGGGGGTTTTTCACCCTTGGCATTACTGGTATTTTGTGCCAGGGGCCCTCCCATTCATTGTAGGACATGTACAGCATCCCTGGCCTCTACCCACTACATGCTTGTAGCACCACTGACGAGACTTCACAACCAAAATTGTCTCCAGACACTGTCAAATGTTCCCTGGGCATAGGGGAATCGGTAAATAAAACAGTCTGCAGCTGAGAACTACTGTACTAAACAAAGACAAAGGTCTAGCTGTTTAAGACAGAGTTGTCTGGAATTAAATCTGCCTCCCTAGAGATGGGCTGATCTCATCGTCCCTTTGGTGTAGTTAGCACCTTAGAGCTGGTGGGTAGGGCACTGCTTTTCCTTCTCTGAACACAGGGTCAGAAAAGCAGTACCAAGGAATTCTTTATCCTGTACATCACCTGTACTCCTTCAGTTGTAGGATTCCTAACTTCCTTGGTTAGGAAGTAACATGAGACCACAGTCTGATCATTCAAGAAAGCAATTAATTCTTATATTTAGGAAGAGGCACGTTGTGAGCTCCTGAAGACTTCTATCTTCTAAAAAACATTTCCTCAAAAAAAAAAATTATGATATTTGCCTATTGAGGCAGACTTCCCACATTAAAAGATCTGCATTACCTGTCAACAGGTCACATCCAATCTGGTTCCTCTCCTGTTACACTTTCCCCAGATGTACTCTGGAAATCAACTTAGGAGGGCCAAGGGGCCCAAGGCTTTTGGAAAACTTGGTTTGGTCTGTAGCCAAGAGTGCTGTTTCAGCCAAGACCTCCCTGAACAAACTGCCTACAGTCAGCCCCAGCAAGAATTTACTTTCCACGTCAGGTGAGTAGTGACTATAGCCAAGAGGATGTGAAGGCCACTGCGTTTCCCAGGAAAGGGAGCTGCCTACCTCCACAGACTACCTCCCAGAAGCAGAGGGAGACTCCTCCCCTCGGTAAAGTTTCTCCCTGTGCGGTACCTTGCTCCAGAAAGATATTCAACCCCTGGAGGGCCCTGGCTCTCAGAAGCAAGTACAAGGTGTGAAAGCAGCTAGAATGTGTCCCTTCTGACATGCAGAGAGTGAAGGGGGCTGTTGTATAGCCACTATCAGAAGAGCAGGTACAGCCTTGGTTAGAACCCAAATGCTGAGCAACTGAATCCTTGCACATTCTTATGTCTAAGTAGATCCCATTAAGCCCTGGGCACTTGGCTTGACTACTCCCTGGATCAAAGTTAAATTACCCAATAAGCTTCTTTTCAGAGAGAGACACACGCACAGACTGACTCACCTTCCAGAAGCTATCCACTTTGCCATACACAAGTGACTGGTTCTGCCTTTTGATTTCATTAATGTGGTGGATGTCACTGGAGTTCAGGTGCTGCTCGACCACAAACCCCAGAAAGCTGTTGTCTGGGGTATGAGCTGGTGTGCAAAGAAATGGAGAGGACAGTTAGTGTCCAATCAGCAAGAAGAAACTACAATCACATATTTAACACAGGCCATCTTACCCGTAACAAAATGTTTTCATCTTACCTTGTTCTTTCTTACACCTGAGGGAGGTGAGGGATTGCTCTCTCCCACACGTTCCCAGTAAAACCGTCATGAGAATACTTCTCTCTAGGATGGATTAACCTGAACCAAAACCTGCTCTTTTTAGGGAAAACACATCTGTTTGAAAATCATTAAGCTGTGTATTCTCTTCCTTGTTGCCTCAGAATAAGGCTACTGTCCGTTTCCCAGCAGAAATGCTCTCAGCCAGGTTTCACCACCCACTGGCCAAAAACCTGTAGGGGGCAGGGCTGATCGGGAGTTCTGAATAGGCGCAGAGCCCCCATGTAACTGAATCTGACTCCAGCTGTGTTTTTCACCCAGCTACATAACAAGAGGTTTAGGGATAGAGTGATGAATAATCCCCAGAACCTTTCATCTCCTCTAAGAATTACTCACTCATAAAAGATGTAATTATGGGGTTATACTGAACAGGTGCATGGAATGAAGACAGAACAAAAGGTAAAGCTTGCTGGGGCACAAACCACTCCAAAAAAACACCAACCACTGCAAAGGAATACTGTCTACAGAGTATGCTATTCTGGAAAAGAAAATTTTGGATTTCTCTCATTTGGGTTCTGTAACTTCTCTAATACTTGACCAAGGGGTACAGCAACCCCACACCCTCTCCAAACATCTGCATCTCGTGCCTGTAATTTTAAAAGGCATTTCACCAGCAAGTGACAGTCAGAAAATAATTCTCTCTGGATTAAACAGAGACCCTCTTCTCCTTTACCTTCATTCTGTCAAGAGAAATCTCAGTTTTTCAGGAGATGAGCCTGCAGAGACCATGTGCGGCTGATATTAAATGAAGCAACTGCTCTGCTTGGCTCTGACCTGAATAGAACAGCTATAAATAACATGAAACCAAATTCCTCCTGGTAAATTGAGATATACACAAGATTCTGAAAAGTCCACACACTGCAACCTTAACCACATCCATTCACAGGTAGGTGGTCAGCAAATAGAGAAAGCTGGTCCCTTCATCTCATTCTGCTTGTCCTAGGACTAAGGAGCGGTTTCCCAGGCTTGTAGTAGCACAGAAATCCTTTCAGACAGACAGATGGGCAAAGGCGAGCCTGCAGCACAGGCCTAGGACTCAGATGCCCAGACTCCAATGTCACCCACCATGCATGCAGGGGAACACGATGAAGAAGGGACACTGGCAGGAAGCCCTGAGCTGTGGAAATGCACGAGCCATGTAAATACTGTGTTGTCAACCTCCGTTTCCCAGGCTTTTGCCTAATGGGGGTGACAGAATGAGGAGATAATAGGGTTGTGACTGGGGAGTTGTGTTCAGTCTGGCCAATCTGTTATTTCATTTCTGCATTTTTGAACAAGTGCCCAGAGGCAATGGCAGTGGCTGCAGTTGGCTGGAAAGTAAATTACTGAATAAATTCTACTGCCAACAAGAGGCAATGGTTGTTTTTCCTCCCCATTTTGAGGAGCTGAGGGCATAGGGAATTTTCAAGGATTAGCGGGGACAGGAACACAGCCTGTGTGCATTCTCAGTGTTACGGTGCAGCTTAAAATATTTCTTTGTAAAATTTTTTGTTAATTCTAAAAGTTTTGAAAAACCTGACACTCTACTTCAGGATCAGGTGTTTTTAATTTTTTATTTTCAGAAAATTTACATGGTGATTAAAGCATGATGCTTGAAATATTTGTTTCTGAAATGTAGTCATTTAGTCCCTAGGTAGGCACTTAAATAATCCAGCAAGTAAAACAATGGGTTTTATTTCATATTATAATATACTAATGCATAGTAAAAAATAAAATGCTTTAGCCACCCAAATGAAAAAATACATATATGTAACATTTTTGTGTGAAAGATTCTCCTAGCTTCTAGCTTGACTGGTGGGAGGGAGAAGTAAATATCAGAAAAACTTGTGAGGAATGGTGGGCTTTTGCTGCTATGACTATAATTTGGTATTCAATCAACTCTGACACTATGAATTTCACATCTAAACTCTCTTCTATGTTTGCATCCAAACACTTTAACTCCTGTCTCACCTTGTGAAATGTTAACTTAGGGATCAACAACCTGCAAGTGTGGTTTAAAGGACCTCAGGTGAGACTTGAGATTTACAAACAGTATCACCACATTTAATGAGCCAAGGCCTGAGCACTGGTCTGACCTCTACATGCCTTCTCCTCCCAGGTGACTCTAAACTTGCCACAGGACACGAAACCTTGACCACATAAGGGTCTGCTCAGCTGTGACTCGCCCCAGCAGGTGATTCTGAAGTAACTACGGGTCCAGTGTGGCTTGCTTCCAAGGATCTGAACACCAGTTGGAGCCTGCCTGGTAACATCTGCCGAGAGTGCCCTGGTCTTATCACAAGTGTTCTTAATGGTGCTTATAATAAATCAAAAGCCACAAGTCCAGGAGGATGTTATCTGAAATGTCCATTTCATTGAGTTCAAATTTCAGGCCAACCTTTCTTTTTTGTTCTGCCTTAGGAAGGGAACAGAGACTTTTATTGTGTTGGGAGGGTTTCAAAGAGAAGGTATTTACATTTTAAGGTAAATCAAACAAATCTCAAACGGGATGCAGGAAATCCTGTACTTTCAGTAATACCTCCATCCCAGAGGATAAACAAATGTGATTTTTAAAAAAGATGACTGATATTTTGAGTTCTGACTACATGCCAAATTCTGTGCTAAGTGCATTATAGTTACTCTTCCATTTTAACCTCATAACCGTGTAACATGTTTGTACAGATAAGAAAACAGAGAGAGATTTGGTTTAACTACCCAAGTCTACATGCTAGGAAATGGCAACACTAGGATTCAGAGTCAGACTGGCTGCTTTCAGGGCATCAACTCCTTAAGTCACTCTAACATACAGCCTCATAGTCCAAATAATTTTCTGGATCCTGTGAACAGCAGTGGTAAACCATGCTTCAGAGGAAAATAATGTTCTAAGGTACAGCAAAATACACAAGAGGGATCCAGAATACATATGCAGTATCACCTCAGTTTCTTGAGTATCTTGTGCCATATATGTATATGGGACCACACAGATTTTTTTTTTTTTTTTTACATGCTACAAAATTACAGGAGATTTGCCAGACATTAGCAATGATTTTAAGATAATTTAGAACAAAACATCTCTTATTAAGAGAAACACTATTTTAAGCACTTTGGAAGCACCTATTTACAAATGATTACAAATCAGCTTGATGTGTTCCCTGAGCAGAGTATGATGATAACTACTTCTAAGAAATACTCAGCTTAGCTTGAATAATTCATTCAATGACAAACGTTTTGAAGCATTTCTACAAACCAGGTTATATGGTAAGTATTGACAAATTACAATATAAAGATGAGTTTCTGCCCTCAAGGAGCTTACCAACTACTTCAAGGTCAACTTGAAAAGTCAAGTTGAGCTTTCTTTCAATTGCATAAATTTCTGAGGTCTGCTTTTGCTATCAGTAAGTCCCAAACATCTCTAAGAATGTTATGTATCTTCACGTCCCCTGGTCACCAAGAGAAGAAACCCCGGTGCCAGCCTGGGCCCATTCTTTAGCCCTCACAGTCAGCAGTCCCAGGGATATTAGTTTCTCAAAAATCCATCAACTCAGCCTTTCCTTTTCATATTTGTTAGTCCAGACCTTCTCACTTTTTGCTAAGACTTCTGCAATAAACAACCTTTTCTTTTTCCTAAATACAAATGGATTTATTGGTTTTCCTGATTATAACAGAAATATATCCTCAGATTAAAACTTTTTTCAGATAATAAAGATATGAGAAAAAAATAAGTTACATATCTTTCATCACCTAGAAATAACCACTATTACTGGTCTTTTTTTCTATGTTTGTGGATCATTTTTCCCCTCAAAATATTGAATTCCAGTTAATGATGTCAAGCTGAGGCATCAGAGGGTTCTTTTATGTATCCCCCCTACCCCCCAAAAAAACAGCAAAAAAGGTGGATTGATGGATAGAGAGAAGATTGGCATATGGATTGATACAGTAAATGGTTAATTATAAAATCTAGATTTGTGGGTTTCTAGTAACATTTCTTCTGTTTTTTTTGTATGGCTGAAAACATTTAAAATACTAAAGAAGAATAATGCTTGTCATCATATTCATGACATTTTTGCTGATTCTGATAAAACTGACGATAGAAATAAATGCATTGAAAAATAGTTATGTCACACAGAATTCTGGATTAAAAAACTATACATTACTACATTATGTGACAAATTTTACAAAAACTGATTTTTTTTTTTCCCCCAAATGTTGGTGATACTAGTTTCTTCAAGAGAGAAGGCTGGGATGCAGGCTAGGGAAACTAATATACAGTTGAGCTGAGAAGATGAGTGCCTAAACAGTTGACAAAAGGCACTTCAGGGTAAAATTTTCAAGTGTCAAAAAGCAATTTAGGAGGGAATGGACTCCTTAGAAGAATAACACTGCTGAAAGCTGAGACTCAGACTGAAGGAACCACGAGGCTGATCCTACTCCTCACTGGTCTGCACAGAGCTTAAAGGCAAGAGCCCTCCTGATTCAAGTTAAAGGCCAAAATGGCAGTTTCAATCACAAATAGCTCCTTTGGTTGTCATGCCCTAAAAATAAAATTGTACATGGAAGTTAACTGATCCTTAGCTACAGCCAACAGGCTTATTATTTGCATGAATGGGAACTGACTTGGTTCTAAAACTCCTGTTTTGCCAGACAAAATTTTTTATCCACAAGCCATCATTCAATTTGATCATGCAAATAAAAATGGCTGTGAGCTCCAAATCCTGGGAGAAATTCAGGGTTGGAATGTCAATGAAAATGACAATCATTATGGTCCGAAAGCCCAACAATGTAAGTAAGTTCCCTGGGAAGACACAAGAAAGTAAGATGAGGCCACTGGCCTA